GATATCATAACAACAATTTCAAAATTGAGCGCAAAGTGGAGAATACATAATGCGAAATCTGTGATGGAAGGTTTCACTTATTAATCGTGGTAATTGAAACAAATTTTGTGACACACTTTGTAATTTTAGAATTATAGGCTGCTGATTGGGATTTATTCATGGATATGTGCTTTGTAATTAACGCACTATATATTCAGCTGAACATAGCTTTAAAAAATGTAATGAAATTTTATGATTTGGCGCTTTAACACTGTTACTAATGTTTTAGATGTAAATATTTTACAGATGTTGGCATAAAATAACCAGTGTTCGTTTTTTAATTCTTCTGTTTATTCGCAACTTTTTGATAAAATTTTCATAACAACACATTACTTTGTTTTTATTGAAACTCTTGGCAATTCCTATTCACACTTATAATAATTAATAACGAATACTATAAATAGTTCTATGAATTGGTTTTAGGAGTGTTTTTCTGTTTTTTGTTATAATTTTTGATGGCTTGGTGCGACGAGTCTTCACCACCCGAAACATTCTCTGGTCTGAAACACCTCTGGGTATTTCAAGGCAGAGAAGAACTAACAATTTTCTTCAGTCAGTGTACTCTCATTACATCTACGCATTTACAGAAATACAAACTTTTTACTTGTGCATAAATTATTCAGACACGCAAGATTTGTAAAAACTGGTCAGGTATTCTACAATTTTTAGCTTGGAAGGAATTTATTTCTTAATTAAGTCGAAGAAAGAGAAATTTTTTCAAAAACTCTAAAAAGAAATGTTTGAAGTCAATATGTTAGTCGAGCATAACATTTTCAGATTTATTATATTTTATACCTACTGTTGCTGTTAGCATGTAAGCTACTGGTTTTACTTCTCAAGGTGTAATTTAAACATAATGGATATTGCCGTGAAAATATTTACAGCTTCAGTCGTTCAAATGTTTATTAGAATTTATTATTTATTCATGATGCTCTCCACAAATGTCAGTTTTTAATTATTAATGCACTTTATAATCTTTAAGTAAAAATTGACATATTAAATGTTTCAAGATTTTAATTACGTGAATGGTCATTTCAACCCCACTGCTTACATAGGAAGGCAATAAAATTTAAAACTTCTTAATTCGAATATACAAACTAATAAAAATAAGAAATTAAAGAAGCTAACACTAAGACAAATCCATGTCTTACATGCAGGAGGCCTCTACTCCAACTGTGTCGTTCCAGTAGATTGTAAATGAAGATTCCTTAGATAATTTAATATTCATCTCACTAAATGAAGTGATTTTGTGTGTCTTGTTCGTTTTTCTCTCTTTTTAAATATTATTTCAATATTTTATTATGGCGGCAGAACGCCGCTACCTGCTCTAAACCGAGGTAGCATCATCATAAAAAAAACTTTGATCTCGAAGTATAATAATTATGTCTACCCCACAGTTGCAACACGGACGTTAAAAAACTATATAATTTTATTTTGAAAAAGTTGCTTTTCGAATAAAACCTTCAATTCTCATTACCATTAACAAGTCTGCCCATAAAAGTATAAAATAACTGGCGCACACTGTGGCGACTTTGGAAGGATATATAGACTTTTTGGAGTTTTTGCAACAATTATTTGGTTCGCGTTCTTTTAATTTGCTTGAGAAGTCACGAGAAAATCTGACAAGTAGAAAAACGTTTTGATAGTTTATCTTAAATTGTTAATATTTATTTTAAAAATATATACAATTTAAAATTGTAAAATTTTAAACTACCATTATAATTGTTTTCAACTACAGTGCAAGCTTGATAAGCTTGATTATCTGGTGCAGTCAAATAACAGAGAAGCATGTATCAAATTGAATACTAATTATCTAAGATTGGAAATGATGAATTTAGAGTAATATTAGAATGTTTTTATGAAAAATATTTGTATGACGGAAAAAATAAAAATAAAAGATACAAAAGATAAAAACAAAATACATATATATATATTGATATGTATTTAACAATGAAACAGTGATTGAAATTTTATTTAAAAAAATTGTTATTTATTTATGGAGTTTATAAACCAATTAATTAAATAATTTGTGTTAATTAGCGATAACCTAATGCTGTAAAATATAGTTTTGACGTTTTGTTGTAGAAGCAAATTTCGAAGATTTGGCATAGATTTTAGTCGAATTTTTTTTTGAAAATATGTATGTATCTCGAACTGTGTGGATGCCGATTTTGAAGAAACTATATTATATTCAATAAACTTTTTTAATGAAAATTTTCAATAAAGTACGTCAAACTCAAAGTTATTGGTGGCAATAAACGCTAAACTATCGAAAAGACTATACAACTTACCAGATAAGCTAGAAGTCGATTGATATCTGATTTGTCGATTTGTTTAAAAAAAAAAATGTGAGACAGTATAATGCAGGTTTTATAGTCATAATTCTCCTTCTTTCAGTTTATAGTATAAATTTTACAATAAGTAAATTTTCTCAAAAATAATCGACCGCGCGAGAGAATATTAGGCATTTTTTTAATAATAACTTGTTTTACAAATAAAATAAATCAAAATTTTATTGTTGATTTTAAATGAAATATAAAAATTTATATAAAGAATAGAAACTATAAAGATATGCTTTAGTTTACTAGATGTGGTAGATGTCATCACTAAGAATTAATGTTTTTCGCAGTGTTGCTTCCTAACCGAGTCAACATCGCATTATTTTGAAACCGAAACCAAGTGAGCGAGTTTAATTCGACCAGTTTGGTCAAATGGTCATCAGTCGTTCGCTTTTTGTGTCGTTTTTAATTCCCATCGTCATCGCCACTGACTTGCTGAGTTTGTTTAACTTTGATATTTTTTCACCCTGTTGCCGGTTTCGTTACGCTATTGTCGACTCTTAATAGTTTCGGGTTGACTATCATCAAAGTCAGGCTGGCCACCCTGTCATTAGCATGACGTTGTAAAAGCTCTATTTTTACCAACGTTGGGCAACACAAGTTGGTCCAACTTGAATGAATACACCTGTATAATAGAATCGTGAGTTCACTATAACCTGTCTGGTCCAGTACAGTGATTATAAACACCGAACAGGAATCTAGCAAGCGGCTGCCACCTGTCTCGGCTCCTCATCGCTATTGGTCCAGATTCATTGTTTTTTATCGCCTGCTTCGATTTTTAATGCTACACTGCTAAACCGCGGATACGTAAATTATTCCTCAAGGTTTCCGCACTTCACTTTGTTGATTTGTTTAAAGTTGGAAAACAGGGTCGGATAACTTACTGATGGCCAGCGATTCATTTGTGACAGGGAATAATTTGTAGGTGTCAAAATCTAACGTTTAGAAATTTTAATTAAGCGGCTTTCCTGGATATAGTATGGTTTTAGAGACTATCTTTCACACCTCGATTCCACTGACAAAAATTAATTATCCACGGCGATAGTCTCATTGCAACGCCGACGATGTTTGTGTTTTGAAAATTGATTAGCCACCTTTGATGATAACGATCGTGATGACTAGATCTACGACGCGCAGGGTTGCTTAGCGACTTTTCTTTATGAACAAGACAGCAAATACATCACACTCGCTTATAACAGAGAGTACAAAATTAAAAGTTTCTCAGGGAATAAAATTTCACAACGATTTTAAATAAATTTTTATCTCCGGAATGCATTTGAAAATGCAGACCGGTTAATATAAGTATTATTTTTGTCTGTTTTGATTACCAAATATATATTACATTGTCAAAATTATAAATGTACAATTCATACAAAGTTAAACGATATATTTCGATGTTCTTATTTTGGCCACTTATTAGATACTGGAATAAGATTCTTGAATTATTCTGAAGTTTGCTTATTCATTAGTGTTCACAGCACAAGTTGAAAGTTATTTGAACTTAAATTAAATCAAAATTCTTTGCAAAGTCTTTTGTATGTACTGCTACTAATAAAAAAAAATGGTTTTAGGTAATTTTAAGATAAGATTATTTTTGGCTTATATATTTTTTACCAAGAAAAAGTACGCAAAAATATTTTAAACTGTTATATTGTTGTTTAAAAAACTTCATTATATGAAGCATTTACATTATTGAAAAGTTTTTTTCATAGAACCAAAGTAAATAAAGCGACACTTTGTGTATAGATCATTTTAACAACTTCTACTTCTCTCCTTTATTATACACAAAAATGTAATTTTTTCGACGTTTGCAAATAAATTTAGCCATCATTTTTAATTCATCTAAAATGATCTGTTGATATAATAGTATAAATGTTATACCAGGTAAATATAACTTTATGTGGCTCGTCTAAAATAACAAACGTTCAGCTTCGCTACACAAAGTGTCACTTTTACCCCTAACCATATAATCTACTATTTTTATTGTCTTCAAAAAGCTCATTATAATATTGTCCATAAAAAGATGGCTAATCCATGTTTTATATATCTATTTTAAAATCTATGAAATACAGAGTCACTTTTTTTAATTTTCAAAATAGTGAATTTTATTGGTCATAGATTTATTTTAATAGGATCCTCTTGTGACACAGGTTTTTCTCATGCAGAATTTACATCTTTTTAATCTGTTTTACATGAAAAAATGCAGTTAGTAATTACCATTTTTCTAAAAAATTACATCTGCACTGAGCTATGAAAGAATTTACAAAATTTGTTTAAAATAATACATAATAATTTAATAAAACTGATGTAGCTTTTATGAAACTGGATGTTTTCCTTTTTATTAAAAATATACCATCGATCATAAATAATATTTGAAAAATGAATATTAATTAATGAAGCAACCTACTGCTAGACCTTGTTGCTATGCTCCTTTTATTTTAGTAAGAAATAAAGAGAAATAAATCTTTTAATAAAAATTGCAAAATGTATAATAAAATATTTAAATCGAGCAGAATAATAATAATGTTTCTCAAGCAAGTATGGTACGTTGTGGTTTCTGGTAATTTTTTGTGTAGATTTTTAACTAAACTGTGGTTAATGGCTTCGTTTTGTTCATTACAGATGCGGTCTCGAACAGTTTCATAAGCGGAAGGTAAGTAAAATTTCCATGCAAATTTTAACGACATAATAATACGGTTAGCCCCAGAAAGGGGCGTTCGAACAAAACTGTTTTCTTTCTAAACGATCCCACCATGACGCCATTTAAAAAAATATATTGCACATACAGCGTTTCAAATTAACCAGTACACATTTTTCCGCTCTTAATTACCACAGGCTTTCTAATGTTTCTCTAAAACAATTCGAATTTTACTTGTTCCAGAACAAGAACTATAAACCTGAACCTGTCCAATGCTATAAATAACGGCTATTAAAGTCTCAGAGGTTGATATTTCTTGCATATCTCAAGCAAGGCGCCAAATGCTTTTCTAGTACCTGCGAACGAACTAAAATATTATGTGCATAAATTAATTCTTATTTAAGGGCAGGTACAGCTATTTTTCTTTATTCATTCGTTTAGTGCGGCTTGTCTAATAAAGAACACGAGATATGGAGATGCACAAGTGCTTCCCATGTGTGGTCGAATTAATTATTTATACATTTTTTGTCTTACTTCTGCGGTACGTTATGAGAATGAGGAAACAAGAATGCTTAACAGTTTTGTCGGGTGGATGTGGTGGCCTGAAATTTTTATTGTCAACTGTTGAAACTTTCAACTTGTTTTATAAGTAAAAAATAATTATGATTGAAGACGACCGAGACGGTGTCGAAACGTCACTGGTGCACCATAAAGAAGTTAATTAGTGCAACTAAACTTTAAGACTAAGCGAGGAGACAATTTAATTTATTTATGGCATATTTTACTAACTTTGCCAATTACAGATAAAATCTCTAGTTCATAATATATGTCTCTTGAAGCGGTGAACTGGAAGCGATTGTTTTTGAAGATCAAAGTTTCATCCAGGTGTTTTTTTCTATTTTCCATTTTACTTAGTCCCGGTTTTTGGTAAATACGATTAAACTTTATTAAATTTTATCGTTCTAAAGTATAGTGCTAAGGTGGAGCAATTTTTTATTGGACGTTATTTTTTTATTGGACGTTAAGTCCAACTTCCAAACTCTGTGTTTTTATATTATAAACTTAAATCAGTGTTTTTCGTGTTTAAATGGTCATTTCTGATATTTTAAAATTTACGACGAGCGTGATGTTTTGTGCGTGAATGCCAGAATTAGTGAATTACATAAATCCGATTTTTGTGACTAGATGGTGATAATTTTACACATTTACATTACCAGCACCTAAAAATAGTAATATGGAGTTACATCACGAGGGTTTAATCGGGTTTTCTACATTTAAATTTTCCCCATGGAGGCAATCTGATGTGGATTACACATTATTATCAGTTTTCGTTTTCAACAATTGCACTGCAGAGTCGTTAGAATCTGGGAAATGTGCCAGTTCTATCTTCGAATTTTGGATTGAATTCAGCACTAAGTGTCGATCACTTTTTTTACAGTTTTAATTCACAAGGCGAATGATGAGATGGCTACAAACAAACATTTTATGACGTTTATAATTAATTACTTAAAAAATAAAGTTGTTTTCTAATTTTTCGTGACGATAAGATCAGAAAACGGGATTCCTTTAAACGAACTGTATACAAATTATTATTCGTAATAAAAGTGCTTTCGTTATTAAAAAGTGGAATTAATTTCGATGTTTGCTTTAGCACTCGATGGTTATTTATGGCGGCTAAATTTGATCGGTATCAAAATTAAAATTTTATGAATCAGAAGCTCTACTTTTAATAACGAGTTCTAGTTTTGACTAATGTTGCATTTTTGAAAAAAATAATTTGTTAATAAATCCTCACTCAAATTTAAAATAATAATTAATGCTGGCTCCCTGAGGCTTTCTTGTTACTAAAAATGATTTATACTAATCTCTCCTTATCGTCGTCGAAATTAAATTATACTTATTAACAGCATAACTTTAGGCGAAAAATTCTTATTAGTGTTGTCCTGAATGTTATTTGTAATAATGTTAAGTTTTAGAATGTTCAGTATTATTTGCTTTTGATCAAACTTCGTGATAGCGCTTTTGAGAATCATTAAAACCGAATTATTAGGATTGATATTAAAAGATCACGAACTAGTCTTCTGTAATAATACTAATATCTAATTTAGCAAGAACAAATTTTGAAAATGCAGTGACAAACACGAATTAATTTTAAACTAATTAATTAATAAATTTTGGATATGTGTGTTTATTTTCCTTTTAATTGTCTTTAATTAAAAAAAAGATAAATGTTAATTAACTTTTTCTACTGCTTACGAGATATAAAATTCTAACAATGAAAAATGCCCTCAAAAATAATTTATTAATGCAAAAATTATCCATTTGAATATTGTTTAGTTAAAATACCTACAAATCCATCAACATATGCGTGACATTGCATATTTTATTTTACTTATTTATATTATAATACTTTTTTATATGCGTTATTATGGCAGTGTTTAATTTTTTTGCAAAAATGAAGTACCTACAAATGTAATTGTTTCTTGTTTGTAAATTCTTGCTTTTGTCGGTTTATTCCGAGTTACCATTTAATTTATGCCTTTTTTCAGTAACCTTTTGCCATTAACTTGGCCGATTTTTTAGATAAAACGGGTAAACGAAATGATAGCGCAATTCTTTCGTAAATAAAAGATAGATAAGCGAAAGCAGAGCCTATCTTTAGGATAAAACTTTATTCACAAAAACGTAATTTATCCATCGGCTTTTAGTCTTCATAGCCTTGGTTAAGGAGCCTTGCAGAGTGATATACATACCTCCAGTTATTAAGTTGGAAAATTGCTTGAACTTAAGCTTCGAAAAGTTCGATCCAGCAAAAGAAAAAAATTAATATATTCACCACTGGAACGATCTCTAAAAATCATAATTTTTTGTGGACGACGTTTATGATGCTGCCGTCACTATTTACTTTTTTCGAAGAGAATGATGTTTGAAATATAATTACAGAATTTGAATAATGAGTTTTTAATGATGAGTAAAAGTCACGTTTATGGAACGAAACAAACAATTATGAATTTTCAGTTTGGACATTAGGTTAAAATGAATTCGAACTTGTGGTCTTAATTGACAAGGCTGTTCGGTGTTGGTGCTGAATTTTGTATATCCTTCCTGATTAAAAAATTCATCACAATTTTCAGATGTTGTCCCAGTTCCCCAGGTGACACGCTTTCAGAAAACTAACCGATTCATCATAGGTGTATGGAGCTTCCGATAAGGTCTAGGCTTTGGGGATAAAAAAGGGAAGAGTCAAGAGATGGGGTCAAACTAATTATACTAATTAAACCAGGTTTCACCCTTTGTCAAGTCTCAACAATCTCACTAACAGTGTAGCGCGCTACTTGATCCAAGTCTACAAGAAGGTTGTTTCTGATTCCCGTATAATTACGAACACCGCTTCATCCGTCTCTTTCTACGATGATTGATTAGACTCGATCTGTCTCTCTCTACCGGAGGACTGGTAGGGAACCAGTCGTCAGTTCGCTGCTGACTCTCGACTAGTTCACAACGAAGCCCGTCCAGTTCCTGCCGAACTGCTGTGGTGTGAACGTCACTGCTGTGCGCTTTTTCACACGCGATTTTTCAGCACCCCGCTGAAAAAAATTACGTGTCGTGCTATCGAATTAATTTTACGGGTTTCCCGGACTTTTCATGCAAATCGGCGAGGATTTCCACTTTCTTCAACACAATAAACATCAGTGGAGCTTTTTCAGCTTTCAGTGAAGTTTTTGTTTTTGTGTGTCAATTACTCTGTGATATCGTTGTGAATTTGTCGTTGTGCCTTTCCGTGTCAATTTTGTGTTGCCTTTCTGGATTTTTTTAACAAGAATTATGTGAGTATAGGGTGACTAAATGAAAATCATTACAAGCTGACATTCGGATTTATTGACACTGAAAGTATTTCGTGACTGAAAAATTCGTGAATGGATGAGCTTTAGCTTAGTTTCTGATTGTTTTGAGTAATCAGTCGCAAGTTCTTTGCGGAAGCTGTCTGCAATCAAACTGAGTTGTGTTCGGGCGGTAAAATTTTAAAGCTCTGCTTTCCTTTCGAAGCTTTTTTTACGTATTTAGATGCAATCTTGATTCAATCTGTACATGGCGAACACGCACCTACATTATAAAAATACGATTTGACTTATCCCTTGAAATTTTGTGAAAATGTAAAGACAGCTTAATTCGTGTTTATTTAAGCTCTGAAGTTATACCTATATAAATAAAAATTTTCTCTTAATATTTGAACAAACAGCCTTTGGTATTAAATTCTGTTCAAAATTCATTTTTACTTATAGTTTATTTTTTGAACAAACTTCGGGGTTGGGAATTCGTAAGCACCTGACTCGATTCATAAAATTGAAAAAATATTATTCTTTTCTGATTTATTTTTTTCTTTTTTAATTAAAACATAACTTTTTGTTAAGATTAAAGTGTGGCTTGCTGACGGGGCTAATAATGGGGTTTTAGAGTCTCGAATGCAAAATTATTTTAGCTTAATATATCCGGATTATCTTAATAGCTGTGAAAATTATGATGTAATGTTCCCGCGAGATAACAAAATATACAAAATATAAAAACAAAGTTCGGATGCCTCTTTTTTATTTATGCGCATATCTATATTTCATTTAATGGCTTTACCCATTCTCCCTCAACTTTATGATATCTAAACTTTTTGAATGTTTTAGCATAGCAAGTTATATGATCAATAAAAACATTTCAGGCAAATTATGTTCTCGAATAGCGCATTTTTATTGCTTTTTTCAAAATACGATCACGTACAAGACTCACCTACTTGGAATTATTAACTCGTGTAATGAAAAATACAAGACAAAAGCTCGTTGAACTAACGGAACGTAATAAACAATTTGACGGACTACAATAACCATTTTTCCACAGATTAACCCAATTCACGTAGGGTCACCGCAACAAAGTGTTCGTTCCAGTTTTGCGTAATGTTTAAAGTCCGTTAAGGAAAATTTGATAAAAGACAAAACTTTGTCGAGAGTAATGTAATTATGAACGAAACG